CCGTCAACCTCCAATCCAAACCAATCGCAAACCGAGCAATCGCAGAGAAAACACAAAGATGGACAAGAATTATCTCTTACGACCACCTCTCTTCCAAAGTTTCCCACGAGGAGCCTTGAGAGGTAGATCACTAACCATATTGAATTTGCTACCAGGGTCTGAATATGAATCAGAATCGGATTCATATTCCGACGAATTGATCAGCCAATCACCTTGATCCCTAATGTCCATTTTAGTAGTAACACCCACTGTTACAGGAATATTAACCAATTTCTGAGAATTGTCCAAACTGCCTTGCGCATCCGAATTTACTATCTGACCACACACCAGAGGTGCCATACTCAAAGCACTATCTCGTGGCCCACCAAAATCCTCCACAACACCCATAACAGGCGAACCTATAACACTAGTCTCAGCATTAACAGGACAAGAAATCAAATTCGTTACCAAATCAACAGCCGTAGATTCCTCACCCGGAATAGATTTCTCACCCACATCCCTATGACCGAGACCGTTCAGCACACAAGACGGGAAAAAAGGCATAGCATCAGAAGACAACGCAGTATCAGAAGCATCCGGGGGACTATCATTCACAGCAACTTTCATTATATTAGAATTAACATTATCCAAATTGATAGAGACATCCAAAGCAACAGGTGAAATCGAAGAAGTCTCCATAGAAGGTAACACAGCTGCAAAAGTCTTCAAATCATCAACCTCCCCTCTTTCAGCAATCTCACAAGAAAAAAAAGATTAGCCCTAAGATTAGGAAAAGAGATCCAAACGGGAACCACAGGAGATTCAATTTCCACATCTAATGTATGAGACCACTTAATCAATTTCATGAAGCAATTATTAACGAAATATGATCTATGCGCAAAAACTCTGCAATAATCCAGTTCATTGAAAAATTTAATCAAAACGTTTCTCTGATTAAGAACCGTAACAGAGACCTCCCCTTTTAGTTTCAGGTTAAAAAAAAATTTCCTAACAGCATCCAAAGATGGACGACTCGTAGGAAATTTACCCACTAGGGCAAATTCAAACGAGGCAGCTAAAGACTCAATTTCCATCTCCGAAATCCATAAAGAAGGCATGCCTTTGAAAGAAGAAACCTTTAGTTCAGGAAAAACCAAAGAAGTAGAAGAAGTACCAGACAATGCTTGTTTAAACGAAAGAGGCGAAGAGCCTGAGAGGAAACCAGGATCCCGGAGGCGAGAAGACGCCATCGAAGCCAAAGAAAGAAAAACGCAAGTAAACTGACGGAGAAACAACCAGACGCACAAAACCTAGGCGGACGAGCGGAGGCGCCGCCAGAGGGATTTTAGGGCGAAGCCCTAAAACCCAGAGCGGAGACGCACGAAACCCAGAGCGGAGGAAAAAAAAATAAAAAAAAGTGAGAGCATTTTCTAAATGTACATTAAATTGTAAGATGCAAAGCATTTTCCTTGTTTAATAAATAATTAAATATAATTAATTGAGATTTATTTTAGTTCTATGTGGTTAAAGTTTCTCATAACCACAATGCATCATAGTTAATTACATTTTCAACCCAATTGAGTGAATACTCTTAACGAAAGAATAGAAGATAATGAAAAATTTTAAGGAAATTCAGGAAAATAAAAGATACAGCCTCCCATTAAAATAGGGAGACTATAACCACCAAGCTAAGAGGTCAGGGCGTTGTCACCAAACAAATCATCCATGAGAAGAAAGTCTTCACCAAATTTCGATTTAATATATTCCATAATATAATTCTTGATATTTATAAATATTATAAATCATAAAATTATAAAATATTGCATGGATAAGGAAGGGGTGGCCAGCCATGAAAGCTTGCATAAAAATTGTCTTCAAACTTTAATGCTTATCTTTAGAAACTCAAGAGTTGTTGAACATTTGATAGACTCTCCTAAAAAGATGAAAAATTACTTCTAAAATAGTCATAAAATCATATAAGGTTCAGCCATGTCATGTTGACATTGTAATTCATGAATATTTATGACAACTAGACCTTTTAATAGATCTTATGATTGGCCTATTCAACAATGCCAAATTTTGATATTTATGACATTTTAAAGAGGCCAACCATCCAACCTTAGTATTTTTCTTTCATTCTTCATTCAATTCCATTGATATGTTACTTTTATGGTGCATCAAATGCACGATCATTCTATAATAATGAAATTTATAGTATCCAATATGTATTAGACAGACTAATTATATGTATATAAAAATAAAAAAAATTTAACAAGCACTTGTGCCCTAAACATTTTAAAATTTTTTGAAATATATTACACAAATATATTTAGTTAATGCATCTCTTCAATTTTATTTTTATATAAATAGCATCAAACAATTTAATGGCCACTTAATCTTTAGTTTTTTTCTTCTTGTTTTGCTCTATCTTTCAAAAAATATTTGATAATTTTCTTTTTTTTTATTATTATTATTTCTTTTGTAGAGTAATCAATTTTTTCAACTTTAATTTAACAATCTATGATATCATATGCTTATTCCTTCTACAATTCATCTTAAGATATTTAACAAATTTAAATATATTTTTTATTTTATTAGGAATTTATAATTTTTGTTATATGAATTCTTTTCATATTTATTTAATTTTATAATCACTATTGTTGTGTACTACAATAAAAATTTTAGATAGTTTATTATCTTAGAATCAGAAGGAAATCCGACACATACATAGATAAAATATGAGCTACATAAGACAATAGGGGTTTTATGTGAGAAACTCAAAAGAGGGGAAAACCACAATATCTAGCTCAATCAAAATGATTTAACTAGTGTTTGTCATTGATTGCAAATGATGCATTTGTGTGATTAAGGAATATGTTGATATAAAATAGTGGATATATAATATATATAATATGTTTAATGGTGAAAGTTAACAGAGTCCTATGGCATAAGATCTATTTTTTATATATTATTTGCTATTTATTTTATCGGCATTTGTGGAGAGAAAGCTATAAATCAAGAAGTCCAATATAAATATTGATGTTGACATTAAAATGACAGTTGGTATTGACGATATCCATTGGTTGACATTGTACATTGACATTATTAGTGACAATGTATGATAAAGTTAGTGGGCACTAGTGTAACCAAGCATTAATGTTTAGAAGATTGTAGAGTGATAGTGGTTGGAGAATCATAGTTAAGGATAGTGGTTGGAGGTCCATATTCAGGTAGCAGTTGTCGGAGAATCGTAGTTTGACGATAGTAGTCGGAGGATATTTAGTTGGGCAATGATGGTTGGACGATTATAATCAAGCAATAATAATTGTAGGATCATAGTTTTGCGCTAGTTCTCGTATGACCATAGTCAAGTGATGATGGTAGGAGGATCATAATTAATTAAGCATTGATTGTCAAAGGATCGAGGTGGTTGAAGAGCTAAAACCGGGTCGTAATAGTGGGACAATCATAGTAAGATAATAGTGATTGAAACATAATGGCCTAAAAAATGATGGTTGGATGATTGTAATCAGGGGATAGTGGTTAGAGTATCATATCTATTGGACTGTGGTCATATGACTATAGCCAAGCAACATTAGTTAGAGGATCATAGTCGGGTCACGATCAATGATGTTTAAAGGACCATTATCATGTGATAGTAGTCAAAAAAGAATAATTAAGCAATGGTGATCAAATGATCATAATCAGACAATGGTGGTCATATAATAGTTCGAAGATGATTATAGAGCAGTGTTTTGATAATGGCTATCAAGTGGTTGTGTTAGGGTGGAGCTCTATGATTCTTCAAGTCTGCGACTTCTCTTGAATCTCAAGCCAAGAGTGCAAGCTCTCCTTATGTAGAGAGTGGGAGATTATTTAAGGATTTTTGTGAGTGACATGATCCATAAATATAACCAAAATTCACAACACTTTATTAGATGTCTGATATGGAATTCTCCAATCATAGGCTATTCTTTTAGCATTTAAATGCCTTAATAATGGAAAAGTTAGATGATTTTAGGCTCGTTCGATTTGCCATACTCAATTTGAGTATCTGCATGCAAGATTTAAATATTGTTTGGTCCCTAAAACATGAAAAAAAATTAATAAAAAATTTATTTATTTTAAATTTCACAATATATTTTTGGACTTTTGAGCTAATTAAAGGTAAATACACACACATTACATACGCAAACTTCAAACCTGGCCTCTTGATTGATAGCCAAAACTACCAATCAATAAATCAAGATGAGCTTCATGTTATTTTATATTTGATTTATCTTATCAAATATCAAAAATCTTAAAACCATACATTTATTTTAGCACCATAATACTCAAATAAAGCAGCCCCAATCTCTATATCTCCTTAGACTTCATAGCAAAGATGGTTCTTTGGGACAAGAGGCCACCACTACATCAGCAGTCAAATCATTTCCCTTGTTGATAAGGGTTGTTTGGTTGCCTGAAAAAGTAAGAAGTATAAAGGGAACACTTTGAAATTATTTGGATGATTGTGAACATAATGAATGAGATTATTATTATTTTTATTTAGTTCGAAGTAAAATGAATGGAAAGTGCAAAAAGATAGTGGCCGGTGGTGGTGGGTGGTTGGCAATAGTGGGCGGTTGGTGGTGTTGGGTGACCGATGGCAATGGCCAACAGCAGTGGGCGCCCATAGGCGGTGGTGACAGCCAGTGACAGCGGTGACATGCAGTGTTGGTGGTCGGATGTGGTGGTAGCTAGCGGTAGTAGGTGGTCGATAGCGATTTTGATTGCCTACGATGGCGCTGATGACGGTGATGACAAGTGGTGGTTATAGTAGTCGGCGGTGGCGGGCATTTGTAGGTGGCTGACTCATGGCAGCAGCACGCAGCAACAACTGCAATAAATTTTCGATGTATTTAAAAATGACTCAAATGAAAAGAATTTCAAATATGCTAAATTTGAACTAAAGATGAAATTATTTTAACTTGTATATCTTTTACTTTACACCCCTTTTATCAACCAAACAGCCCCTAAATTTACGTAAAATAATTCAGGAAGTGGACAGACACAAATACCTCGAGAAGCTGTAGGGGAATGACGATCAACGCAGAGGCGCGATCCCAGATCTGAACACAGTGAACCCTAACCAACCCCGGCGTGGGCCGTGCGGCCATGGCCGGTGCCGTCTCAGCTCTCTTCCTTCTCGACATCAAAGGACGCGTTCTCGTCTGGCGTGACTACCGCGGAGATGTATCTGCGGTCCAGGCCGAGCGGTTCTTTACCAAGCTCATCGAAAAGGAGGTGACATCCCGTCCCTTTTCCGGCCACCTCTTTTTCTATCCCGCTACGCGAGAATGGTTTTAGCAGATCGGGTCCAATTCTTTCGGCTCCGGCTTGATTCGGCTTCTCGTGTCAGCGGATTCTTATTGATTGTGTTCCATTATATATTTCTTTGAGTCGGGGTAGGCGAAGAGATTTTTGCAGAGATGCAGAATTTAACTTTGAATTGGTGGCAGGTGGATCCGGATTCACACGATCCGGTGGTGTACGATAATGGAGTGACCTACATGTTCATCCAGCACAACAATGTTTTCTTGATGACTGCGGCAAGGCAGAACTGTAATGCTGCGAGTATACTTCTCTTTCTGCATCGAGTTATAGATGTGAGTTCGTCCGTGCAAATTGGACCCTTGAGCCCCTGATTTATCCTTCCTTTCAGAGATATATTACTGGTTGAAGAATATGGATCTGATCTTTGTGTCGCTTACAGGTTTTCAAGCACTATTTTGAAGAACTGGAGGAGGAATCACTGAGAGATAATTTTGTTGTGGTGGTGAGAAAATGAATCTTGGCCTATTTTCTCCATTTCAATTGTATTGCTTTGGTGTGATGGAAATAAGTCGCATGGTTTCTGCAGTATGAATTACTTGATGAAATGATGGACTTTGGATACCCTCAGTATACAGAAGCTAAGATTCTTAGTGAGTTTATAAAGACAGATGCTTACAGGATGGAAGTTACACAGAGACCTCCGATGGCTGTAACCAATGCAGTGTCTTGGCGTAGTGAAGGGATAAAGTACAAGAAAAATGAAGTAGGTTGTCACCGAGCTATTTTTGAGCATGCAGTTTTATTGTCCTTCCCCATGTTTTTTGTCTGTAAGAAGTTGCTGCTTTTGTTTATTAGGTTTTCCTAGATGTTGTAGAAAGTGTGAATATTCTTGTCAACAGCAATGGACAAATCATTCGTTCAGATGTTGTTGGTGCATTGAAAATGAGAACGTATTTGAGGTATGTTGCCTTGCCTCTTTGTTGCGCTTCTTATATGCTTTATTTATATGGTTTTTTTTTTTTGGTTTCTTCCATTGATTTAATAATTTACCTGTAGCTGTCTGTGTTGAGAATGAGAATGCCAATTCCAACAAACATATTGTTGTATGTTATGGTAATTATGAATTGAACAAATTGATCAACCATAACCTTTTATACTTGAAAATTTTCATGGTTTGCAAATTGCTGATGAGTTGGAACTTGCTGTTGGATTTTCAGTGTTCCCAAGACTAATGAGATAGGAAACTGAAGAGGAAGCTACTTTTATCCCATTTTTATTTGGCATTGGACAAAATTCTTAAAGATTTCTGGTAGAAGATGTATATGAGGAAATGATCCAATGGATATGAATGTTTAAGTTATTAATAAAAGGGACACACTTCTTGAAGAGTTTTTTTTTTAATGAATAAATTAATTCATCAATAGTACTTTTTTTGGCTTTATGTTATAAAGTGCTTATTATGTATCTTATCTTATACTTCAATTTCCTTCTCTTTATAGTTATAAACTGTTAAGCTAAATGAGGACTTTAGGGCAATTCTGATGCGGAATTTTTGCAATCAGGTAATCAAATGCTGAGAGGAAATCAAGAAATTATTTTTTACTTTGGATGTCTCTTAAGGTGAACTTTTTGCATCATTTTCTGAAGTTGAATAGATTTAAAGAGACATTTTAGATGCTATTCGCCATCCACCTAGGTGAAGTACAAAATGTGAAATCAGGAATCGAGGTATTTTGCTTTATAGGGCGTGGCATAAGCCTCAAAATAAAAGAATAAAAGTTCATAAAATTATAAATAATTCGTAAAAATGACAAAAATGAAATAAGTCATCAACATATTTACTTGACTCATCATCATAAAGATATAAACTATAAATCTCAATATTAAAAATTATTATAAAATGAAAGCCTGAAATGATATTTAAGGTAAACACTCACATAAAACATAAATATGCTATAAGGATCAGGATCCATGATGGCCTCATCCTCACTTTTCACGTATATGCTCATTTCGTATCTTGTCTCTAAGAGTAAAGCCACTCATCCACGTGAGCATCCTCATCTCTGCAACACTTAACTTAATATTATACTTCTCTTTTTATGTCCAACATTCGGCACCATAAAGCATTGCAGGTCTAATCACCATCTTATAGAATTTTCCCTTAAGTTTGAGGGGTACTTTTCTATCACACAACAAGCCCGATACATTCCTCCACTTCAACCATCCAATTTGAATTCTAATAATAATATCCCCATCTATTTCACCATCACTCTGAACAATAGACCCAAGATATCTAAAACATGTACTCTTATTAATGACTTGTTCAACCAAATTCACAATTCCCCCACAAGAAAGAAGAGGGTGGGAGGGAGGAGGGGAAAGGGGCTTAAGCTTTCAGGCATGGTAAGATGAAGCCCTTTCAATAGAGTTGAGAAGAGAAGAAGCTCTCACAGCCAAGAAGAGAAGATGATAATATCAGCAGTAGCAACGTCATCTTCTCCATACTTGGCCCTTGTTTTTGTAGTAGGTAGATGAGTTATCTCTCAGTTATTATATCGAGAATATCTTTTTATATACAAAAGAAATTTTTGATATTCTTCTCTTTTAAAGATTAGTGAAATATTTAATCTATGTACGGATGTAGACATAGGTGAATATCATCAAACTGTATAAACTTGTGTGTTTTGTGATTTTGATCTTTGGTGTGTTCGTTCTTCTTATTTAATAGGTTTAACTCGAAATTTTATCACTATCCTAGTAATTAGGGTTTATGAGACCTTAAGAGATGTAGGGAAGCTTTTTTTAGGTAAAATTTTATGACTAGAAAATAATATTAGTATACCAATGGAAATTACCAATAATTGTTAGAGAAAAAGAAAATCACAGAAACAAGATCGAGATAGCATGTTATCCTAGTATCCAAAACCTTTAGGAGCATGAAGTTTATAAAAAGATTCATTTGGACTCATTGCTTGAAGCTTGGTAAAAATAGGTGAGTGATAATAGATTTTTTTCTAGGATTTCAGCCTCATATGGTAAATAGAATTTGGAATTTCTTAGCAACCACAGAGGCAATACATTGAGCCCGCTCATTTGAATCATAAAGCTAATGATCCTGATCATCACCATATTCACAAATTAGAAGGAGGTGAGGTGTTGTAGTAATATATGGATCAGGATTAATGGTCATACTTATAGGTGTTGACGTGACTATCATCATAATGCTAATATGTGCAAGTGCAAGTGCCCCTAAATCCAAAGGAGAATTTAAAACTTGTCCCAAGTTTTGATTGCATGGTTGATCCATTAAAAGAGTTATCTCCAGAGTGATTGAGAGTTAAATTTAATCATTTGGTTGTACATCTTACACCTGATAACCTTATATCTATATGAGCTTTGAAACATTTAGAGAAATTGTTGCAAAAAAAACAAAATGCAAGATGAATAGTGTGTTGTTATGCCTTCAAATTCAAGTATTCAACCATTTGCTAGTATTCAGAAGTCATGGTACCCACTAATGCTTCAATTTTCAATTGATATGTAAGTCTAGTTCAACTAGAACTCTTGCCAAAAAAGGCCTTAAAATACGAGCAATAGCATTATCTACTTGTAAAGATTCATCAAATATAAAACCCATGGGATATCACTTTGATTGGTTTATGCAGTGTAAATGATGTTCGAGGGAATGCAATCCAAATTGGAGTGATAGTTGGTTCCTTAAAAAAGTCAAATAGGATGACCATTTTAGCATGCATATCGAATACCCCTTATATAGTGTATTGTTGAGAGAAAAGTCTTGTGTAGTCTGCTTCCAAAGAAAGTTTGATAATAATATAATAAGGAATTAAGGATCAATAAGAGCAACAAAATGACCATCTATCAAATGTAGATCAGACATAAATTTGCACATAATCTCTTTTTTGGGTGGCTCAATGAGAATTTGACAAAATAGAAAAATATAGAGGCATAACAAGATTTGATATCTCCCCTTTAGTGGGATGAGATAATGTTTGCTCTGATAAAGGCCCCATGTGAGATGCAAGCTAAGACGAAGTGAGTGCTCACTACCAAGCAAGCATGCACAAGCGAGCCGCGAGCACGACATATGTGAGTGAGCACAACAGCAAGCTTGCTGAAGATCGACTATGCAATTTCCAAATGCACAACTAACTTTATTATTTTCTAAGATGTAGAGAGACTTTGTGGTCCAGTGGGGATTGAACTAGGGTTTTATGGAAGAGAGAACCTAAGAACAAATTTGGATTAGAGTTTTATATGGGGTGGTTGACGATTAAGTGAGAATTAGGGTTGCTTTAGGGTTGTCAAGGAGAGGGGAGGTGTTTGCTAGGGGTAGGCTAGGCTGTGAGTAAAATAATTGCTAAGGTAATTAGAGAACTCACCTAAATTCTCCAAATATCAAGCCACCCAACCTTTACCCAATATTTGCAACCAAGGAAATAAGCTTCAATAATGCATCTATTCTTCAAGAGAGCTCGTTTGGTGTATTTATAATGCAAAATAAACAAAAACACATGAAACTATTTAAGATGGGGACTGGCTAGTGCAAAATAGAAAGAGAGTGGTTCCAAATTACATGCAACTTCTCATCCTTTTTGGAGTTGCCAGTTGTGGACTTTTCAAGGGAAAAGCGGGTTATTTTGTACACATGGTACTTGTTCTTGAGGTCTACGGATCGGTCATTCACAGTTGGATGCTGGAGTGATCTTGATGAGGACATCCTACCGTGGAGAGTTTATTAGAGAAGAGACCGAAGATCTACGGCTATGATTGGACAACTTTATTTTTTAGCTTTATTTGTATTTGATTTATTTATGTATCTTTTTTGTTTTTACCCTCACTTCTTCATTTGGTGTCTTAAATTTAGCAGCCTCTTTAAACCCTCTCATTAATTCCCTCTCCCTAGCCTTGCCGCCCCACCCATATCTTCTCTAATTGTTACTTTCCCATTAATGCTCCCCAATCAATTCCCCTCCCATTAGGGTGTGCCGCCCCCTCCCTACCCCTAATTTATGGACATTCAAATTCAAATCTTCCCCCAATCTCTCCTCCACTTAAAGCAACCATTAATTCCTACTCAACCCCAATTGATTCTTGTCTTAATTTGCATGCCACCTAGACAAGAAATCAATTCCCGAATTTTGTTAATTGCTGGAATTAAATTCATAGTTTCCTATTTGCTTCCCTTCCTTACTCATCCCCCAAGTAAGGAATTAAACACCTCTCTAACTGGCCATAGGCCCCCCATCCACTTCTCTACACTTCTTCTCCTTCACTTGATGTTTTCACCTAAAAAAGGAGAAATAAATCCTCCTCCCTTGCCGGCCACATCCCAACCATTCTGGCACTTTAATACCTTGTCAACTACAAGGTGTGTTTACGTCAAAGCGCATCCACGGATGATGAACGGCCAAATCCTGGAGAATTTTGGAGCAAAGTCCAGAAGCTTGAGAATGGTGAACTCTTCTCCTAAACCTTTTATCTTTAACTCTTCCTCAATTGTGGTATCGTTAAAATTATGAAGGCTTCTCCGCTTAGCTCTTATTATGAGCATATGTGAGTGGATTCTTATAGTGACTATTCTAATAGTTAATCAAGGGATTTCTTTAAAAGCCCCACATCAGCAGGGTTTGATTTAATTTGATTATTTTGTGCTCCTAATATTATCATATAATTGATTGCCTGAGCTAATCAATATCTTGTTGGCTTCAATCTTTTGTTTAATACATGGGAATCTTTTCATGAGCATGTAATTTCAAGTTTAATAACATCACATGTGCATGTAGTCCTACTTCAAATATTTTATTAGAGCATATCTTTAAATCCTTTACGGAGGGAGAAACCAAGCTTTTATCATGATCATTTGCTTTGAATTTTTGTGATGTTGATGACGATGATCTTTAAATCTTGCTGCATTGCTCTAATTTATGACTGGTCATTGGCTTGTGTATGTGTTAGTGATGCAATTAGTAAGTGTGAAACCATAAAGTTAGGATGAGACTTCATAGTTTATCTGTGTGATTTTTTTGTTTGATTTGGTACCTTTGATAGAATGAAAAGAAAGAGTTTTCACTTTTCTTTGAACCGAGACTGCAGTTCACCCAAGCTACTCCTTTTTGAAATGAAAGAGAAATGAAATTCCTTCCATAACCCTGCCTTGTACTATGCCAGTTTTTTCGAATTTTCCATTCACCTCCTTGAAGTTATTTTATACCACTTCATCCGCATTCAAATTTTTGCGTAAGATGATTAATGATGCTCTAATATTCACAGTGGCATGCCGGAGTGTAAGCTTGGTTTGAATGACAGAGTTCTTTTGGAGGCTCAAGGTCGGTCAGCAAAAGGAAAGGCCATAGATCTGGATGATATCAAGTTCCACCAGTATGTAATTTTGGCTGGAATCAAATTTTATTTATGTCCACTTCTTGTTTTCCTGTCTTTGTAAGAAAAAGGAATCTATTTGAAATTTTGATTGCTGCAATTAAAAATTCCATTGGATTAAATTATTTTACGCCTGATACTATGTGAAGGTGTGTCCGTTTGGCACGTTTTGATAATGACAGAACCATATCTTTCATACCACCTGATGGTTCTTTTGATCTGATGACCTATAGACTAAGCACACAGGTTTTAAGTCCTGCTCTGATTTTTTTCATACTGCGTAGGAAACCCGAGCTTGTCTTTTTTATGCCTGATTTACTTATCCTCTTATTGTTGCTGTGCAATGCTGAAACATTTAGGTAAAACCTTTAATCTGGGTGGAAGCTCAAGTTGAGAGACATTCAAGAAGCCGTATTGAACTAATGGTCAAGGCAAGAAGCCAATTTAAGGAACGAAGGTACTCTTTTCTGTTGAAATGTCTTTTTTACAGGGCTATAATTCTTATTATTCTTTTTTTCTTTCTTTTTTTTGAAGATTTACATATTTGTCTAAAATGAATGCAGTACTGCAACAAATGTTGAAATTGAAATACCTGTGCCTTCGGATGCTACTAACCCAAATGTGAGGACGTCCATGGGTTCTGCTGCATATGCACCAGAAAAGGATGCATTGGTTTGGAAAATAAAATCTTTTCCTGGTGGGAAGGTATGGCTTACCGGCAGAATTTTATCAATTCTCGTTATTTTCAAGGATTTTAAAACTGGACCGGTCAATGAACCGGAAGGAGGGGTTAGAAGTTTGATGGTTCGACCGGGGTCGAACCGGATGATGTAATAAATATTTATTATATTTAAATATTATAATAATGACACAACTATTTATAAATATATAACAAAAATTGAAGAAAATTATAATATGAAGTATAAAAAACAACTTTACAAATTCATAAATACAAAACTGAAATTCAATAACAATGCATGCACATACCTGCTTCAAAAACTCAGCTCTAAAAGCTCTTGTCACTTCAATGATCCCTTGACTCTGTTATTTGCAATGGCTAAAGAGTCCTCGGGATGGTCACTTCTTATTCTCTTAACTTCCTGAATGACAGAAAATGTAAACATTATTTATGAATATATTACTGAAATCAAACCTCAAAAGAAAGATTCAGATAAATCAAAATCTTCTACTACCTCTTCCACACTGGTGCTGTGATCCTTTGTAAGTTACAAGGAAACAAGATTTTGCAAACCATCCATTTGATCATCACAACACTTATAATTCTCAAGATCATGTAAAGTCTCTTCATTTATACTCTGCAAGTTCAACCTCTCATTCCTCACTGAATCCCAATTTCAAACATCATGAAAAAATCTATTAGCAAAGTAGATTATTCATTCATATGGGCATATTAAATAAAGTATATAAAAAATATTAGATAAAGTAAATAAGAAAAACATAACAATATTTTTCACTTGAAGATGCAACTAATCATAAAAAGATGCAAAATTACTTTATACCAACTGATAACAAAAACAAAACATATTCATAATTAAAATCAAAGTTTCACTTTCTCAGTTCAATAGTTTCAAAGATCTCCTAAATTAGCATCATCAAATCTATCTATATAAGTTGAGTCTCCAGGCCTCGCTTCACCAAAATGTTCAAACTCAAATGCATCCGATTGATCAAGCCCGGTTATGTCTCCTACATCTCCTTCATTCTCTAAATCACCTTCACCAACAAATAAGATATTATTTTTGCTTTCAATTAAATAATATATTCAAATTTTATTGTCAACTTATAATGTCCTGGCTGATTAAATGATATATTTTGTTCTTCAACAATTGGTATTGTATCCTCTTTGTATATCTCATTTTTCAAATCCTGTAAGTCAAGTTCTGGAGTTGTTTCATTTTCAAGTATCCAAAAATCAACCATTTCAACACAAGTGTAGTCCAGAGGGTCATAATGTCTTTTTTTAAGTTGAAACCTAAAAAATGAATAAATAATTTTATGTTAAGATTATACATACTACTTAAATTGACACTTGTACATAAATTTAATGTTAGATCATACCTATTCTTTAAATTCAAATTATATCGAACATATACAAGATCGTTGAGTCGTTGATGCTCCAAATAATT